AGACTTTGCCGTCGTCCCGCTCAAGGACTGCAACAGTTTTGCTACCCCTATCACGAATCCTCGTGGCGCTTGTCTGGAACGCCAGGTCTGGAAATACGCATTCCGCTCGGGACTTGGAAACGTGAAATTTTACATTTTTGGTCTTTGACGCCCTTGCTTGCATCTTTCTCTGCTGGCTTGACGCCCTGGTATGGCATGCCCCTTCATCCCGTGCGCCTCACTTCTTCTATGCCACTGGGTCTTTGGGCAGCGCTTCATGTTTCAATTCACAAAGGCTGAAGGCACTCCCTACTACGTCCATTGCCTCCAGGTCCGGTCGTCGGCACGCAGTGCGACTTGGTGCAACATCTGAAGCTCCCTGAAGCTCTTGAGCCCGCCCCTTTTAGCTTGCGCGCCCTGCTTGCTCACATTCAACTGTTTCCCCCCCAACAGAACCAGCCTGCTACCCCTGCCTCCGACGCCGTCTTGCTTTGCCTGGTGACCCGTTTGCCCTGGTTCACGTTTTTCCGTGATACCGTGCACGCCTTCAACACCGTCTATCAACGCTCCAACGTATGCCACACTTCCTATGCCGACCCGCCTCCATGCTGGCTGTCTTGTCCAGCTCACCCGGCCGCCAATACCACAATAGTATGATCGCAGCGTTCTTGAAGCCTGCTTGACCAAGCTCTCCGACGCCCTCAAAGAGGATTGCAGCCAGCCCACCGGTATGCAGTCCTACCCCCATCCGTTTCTGCCCTTTCTCTGTGACAACCCCCCTCCATGTGCGTGTGCTCATCCCACTGCCCCTGCAATTCTCTGGGACATTTGGAACGCAGGTACTGATTTATTATTAGCCCTTCCCCATGACGTTCAAGTAACCCTGCGGGTCCCTGATGGTCAGCGAAGCCCCGTCATCTCCGAGCTACCACTCGTCGGCACACTCCCCCGCTGCCTCTCCTGGCACAACGTGTTTCATCTGCTCGCCGCCCTACAGGCCGAGCGCCGCATCCTGGTAATTGCTCTTGCAACGATTGTTTTGTGTGCTCTCAAGTGAACACACACCCCACGCCCTCTTGCCGACATACCATCCTCACAACCCTGCTCCTCCGTGCGTTCTTCTCGCTCGTCTCTCGCGTCCAGATCACGTCCTCAGACCTGAATCGCTTGACATGCGCTTGCTTTGGATGCACGCTGAGCGTGTTTCCCATGCAATGGCAACACGTCTTCATCCCCATTCTGCCCGAGCACCTGCTGGCCTACTGCGAAGCGCCCATGCCCTACATTTTGGGCGTGCACAAAAGCCTGCTCCCCGAAATTCAGTCCCGATCCATGGAAGGTATGCGCGCTGCCTGCCGAGGTTCTTGAGAGAAAAAGAAATGCAGGTTCAAGGACCCACCATACAGATACAGCTCGGTATGACCTCACACAGGCGGCACCGTGGGGTGACCAACCACACTCTCAGATCACGTGCTGGTGGATCTGGACGAGGACCTCATCATCTCCCCTTTCACGGATACGGACAATTGGCCGACCGAGCTGGTCGCCGGCATCAAACCCATTGCCAAGCGCATTCGACAGCTCGGTCCTCACGCGCCTGAACGCCACGAAGACATTCTGGCGTTCGCCGAGGGCATTACCGACCTTTACGTCCAAATCATGGCCGGCAGCACCCAATGCATCGTGGCGACAAACGATCGGGAAATCTCCTTTTATGCTGAAAAGTACGTGCATGGCTTGTGGCTTGCCTGCATGGCATCGGCGCAGCCTCACTACCATTTACCCTCTTTTTTGTTGCCTCAACTAGGTTCAAGTTGCTCAAGCCACGCGTCTTTGGCCCCATGCTTGAGCACTTGGTGGAGATGCAAATGTTTCAGCAGGTTGGTCTGCCATGTCAACATGTTGGCAATGGTCTCCTGCGCAACTGCGCAATTATTGACTCCTCGGCATCAAATTTGTGTCTAGTTTATCGAACTGTGCGTGGCAAAGAACAAACAACCCATTTATGGCTCGCCCGAGGCTGCTTGCCTTCTGTATGAGAAACTTGAGGTGTGTGGCGCGTGCCTTCGGCCCCAAGCCCACGGCTTCTTGCTGATTGCTGGGGCACCCACTCAGCTTTGTTTTGCTCTTTTGGCCTTGGCACACTTGACCAGAAGCAATTTCTCGAGCGCGACCATGGGTACGGATCAAGTGCCAGCCGTAAAGAGCGGTGGATTGCTCGAGCAACACAACGCGTCAAACAAAAGGGTACGGATTTGCAATCTGGGATTGGATCGCATTGCGGAATGGCGGGGCCGTCTTCCTTGGACAAACATTCTCAAGGTCAAATGCCCGCGCCGTCGCAGTGGTACGCTCAAGTTCGACGTCGCAGCACACAACGCGATCACGAACCCGCAGCGTGCAGGTGACCCGCCTCGCAGCCGAGGACGATGGCAGTACTCTACTGGCCACGAACACGTCCTTTGCCCATGCACCATCCACCACGCTCTCGGGGTAAGCGTCCTCGCTCCCAGTCACGCCAGCGCCCAGCTTGCCCAACGCCATCTTTTGATGCATCCCGTGCGTACGCCCACTTGTCATCGTGTAGACGCCAGCGCTCGGTGACGACACAGCCGTCGGGATACCTTGAAGCTGGACGACCCCGCGCCGCACTGGTCACCACCGGTACGCCTTTAAGGCATTTCCCTTTTGTCGTCCCCGCCTATACTCTTTCCTCACTGTCATCTCACTTTATCACCTGGGTGTAGAGCACTCGCGAAGCGTGTTGCAACCGGCGCGCTCGCCGCCTCGCGTGCCGGTGCGTGTCGATGCCAACTCTGTGCGAGCCAAGCCCGTACGCCCGGCTCAGCAGTCCGAGGCCGTGCAATCCTACTTGCAGGCCCGGCAGCAAGGATGGGATATGCCCATTGCTGAGGCGTCGATGGAGGAAGAAGATGAGCCACCAACGCGGGGTCGTGGCACGATTGGCGCGCCCCGAAGCCATCGTGCCAACTCCTCCATCACCGATGATGGCGAGGAAGGTGAAAATGAGGATAATCAGGAGATGGGATCACTTGCATCGTTGAGCCTCGACCGATCAGATGCCGGCGTGATACCCACACCGCCGCCGCGACGAATGCGACCAAGCCAACGCCGCGTGATTGCCAAATCCCCGGGCGAGTCTCCGGATCCCGTGCGTCAGCCTCCATTGGCGGCTGCCACGCGCGCTTCCAATGCGCAGATTGACCTGGCCCAGCTCGAGTCGGTTTGGGCCGACTTTGTTGACAAGGTAAAAGAGTCTTTGCTGGGTACAAGGGTGCCGGCAGCTGAAAGGCACTTGTAGCAAGGGCACGTGGGGAAACCGATTGGTGTCAAGGATTTGCTTGTGTCAATGGTGATGTGCTTATGATCGATCTTGTCTGCGCGTGTAGATTCCTTCGGCGCCCATGCCCATCAAGGGGCGGGGGCGCCGCGAGAGCCCGCAGCGGCTCTCGGGTCACTCGTTGCCCGGGAGCTCGGTTCCACTGAGCACCTCCAATCCGTTTGCGGATTTGGAGGGTCGTAGCTCGGCCAGTCCGGAGTCGTCACCCTTTCATGTCGACACTGCTGTGCGGCCACGACGGTCCTCTTCGATGAATCTTGCGCTGGCGGCCCGGAGCCATTCAAGTCCAACGGCGAGTCCGCGGCCGGGCCGGGCGCGCAGTGGCTACGCCGATCCCCCCACGCACGCCGAGTAGTCCGTGGTGCTTCTGCCACGAACACTAGACCGCGAGACAGCTGATTCACGATTTTCAACATTTTAATTGACACACCAATTTGTGATTTGTGTGTCTATCAGGCTCCATCCAGCGCCTCACAGTGTTGTTTTCAGGCAATATCACTTGAGCGCCGCCGAAAGCCGAGCACATACATGGGTGCCACCACTGCTTAGATGAAAAACAGCGAGGGGTCAATGTTCAGCTGCATTGGGAAGAGATCTCTGCAATGGAGCTTAGCTTCTTAAGTCAGATGATGCTAGCCAACGTTTCACAAGGGCAATTTGACAAACAGCTTTTGCTCTTTTATGGCCTGGATCCTCACGTAGAGAAACCCTTGCCCTTGGCCGGACCTGCACGCATCCCAGAGGACTAAAACAACATTGATCACCCAATAGGTAAAGAAATTGAGAAGAAATTGAGAAGAAATTGAGAAGAAATTGAGAAGAAATTGAGAAGAAATTGTTGCGAAATGAAAATTCTGTCTCACATGCGGTACTTGAATCAACAATAAGCTTATATAGAACGACACAAAGTGTAATCATAACTACAAAAAGCTCACCTTTTACAACATAAACATTAAAAAATTTAAGCTCAATTCACTAATAATATCAAAATGATTCTACATAAACTAAAAGATATGCAACTATTAGATATATCAGAACAGCGGAAACTAAGACACTTGCTGCAACAAGTCTCTGTTTGGGTTCTGTGGCTCTCTTTCTTGTCTGTGTGTGTGTGTCTCTGCCTCTGTCGGTGTCTCTGTCTGCGTCCGTGTCTCTGCCTCTGCCTGCCACCATCTGCATCTCTCTGACTCTCTCTGAATTCTCATAAACAAAATTTCTCTCGCGGTCTCTCTAACACTCCGTCTCTCTGTTTCTCTCACCCACTCATTCACTCTCTCTTCACTCACACACTCACTCACACTCTCTCTCTCTCACTCTCTTTCTCTCTCTCTCCATTTTCTCGTTGACGTCAAGTGGCAGCGGCATTGTCGTCTCGCTGCTCTCTCTCTCTCTCTTCTGCTGGAGGTTGTTGTGGCGTCGCGTCTTGTGTCGCAGGAACCATGACCATGTCGGCGGCTATGCAGTTGGTTGGTGTTGTGGCGGTGACCGTTGCTGTGGCGGGTTGGCTCGCGCCCGTGGCCGAGGCGAGCTACGATGCCGACCGTACGCGGCTGATTCGCACCGTGCATCCACCTCGTGAGTGCTCCTTGCTCCTCCTTGCTCCTTGCTGCAAGGGCGACACTTTTGGCGTCGCCCCGCCCCATCCTTGCCCTTCTCCGGTGTACAACGTCCACCCCGTTTTCACCAAAGGTTCGCCTCTTACCCCCGCGCCTTCTTGCTCATTTGACGTCTGCGCCGGTGGTCTGCCATCATAGAAAATAAGAGCTCGACCAACTTTCTCTTTCGCGGAAACTTGCCCGTGACGGACAACCATACCTTTGCCAAGGAGGCCCTCGTCGCCCGCATGCAACAGCTGGCAGCCGAGCAAAACCTCACCTTTCCAGAGACCTTTTACTTTGTCGACCTCAGGTCAGTTTCGTCGTGGTTGGCCAAGCCGCCGACGTCGCCTGCCAACCCTCTCGCTTACCTGGCTGCTTTGAATTGGGTAGCTTGTTGGACCCCTTTGAGGTCGCAGATGCCGAGGTGGAGATCAAATACTTCAAGGAGCATCCCAATGAGGGCGAGGTACCTGCCCAAGTCAACGCACTGGACACGGCGTCTGCCCTTTTTTTCTGGCCTGTGCTCACGAGGGGGGGGGGGGGTTTTTTTTTTTTTCCATTCTTTCCTTGTTGACGTTTGGTTGTAGTACATCAACTGGCTGACCGTCGGCGACGTCGTTCATCCCGAGGAGCTGCCCGTCGAGGCCCGCCTTGCCTTGGCTCGCAACCTCAGCCATTGGCAAATGGACAAACTGCCCCAGCGCATGGGCGCTATCGATGCCCTTCTCAACAGCACAACTGTTCGTCGCCATGCCCAGCGCTCAATTGCCGCTCGAATTGTGGTTCTTTGCTTTTGACTCATTTGCAACTGGCGTGTCGATAGGTTCATGGTCCCATTGTGGCCTACATTCACTGCGAAGCTGGTGCGTTTGCTGTCGGCCTGTCCGCGCCCTATCGCTGGACGAGCGTCTCTTGCTGATAGCTGTCAAGCGGGCCTAACCGACACATCTTTTTTTTATTTTTATTTTTTTTTTTTTTTATTTTTTTTTTTTTTGTGGGACGCAGGCATGGACCGCACCGGCGAAATGTCGGGTAGTTACTACATGCATGCCCTCAACTGGACTTTCCACCAGGCACTGGCATACGATGATTCGATTGAGACGCGTAACATGTAGGTTTCCGCTTGCTCTTCTTCTTGGATCAAGCCTCTTGTGCATGCGCTTGCATCGTGCCACATCGCCTTTGCTGACCTCACATGGTTGCTCATGCCCGTGCCGCAATGTCAGTTCCATCTACAGCCAAAACGCTTTCCAATGGTATTGCTACTTCTTGTCTGTGACGTACCAGCCGTGGCAGGACTGCTCGCTCCCGTAATCCGTCTCGCGGGATCGGCTTGCTGTACCTGGCTTAATTCACGTTCAAGCTTCAGCTGTTTTCTCTCAATCTCGCAGCGCATCGTCATATCATGGGTCATGAGTGGGTTGCGGGGTGATGGCTGGGTGCTGGGTAATGTTGTGACCGGCGAGCCGACTCGGAATGGGAACACTCGCTCACACGTGTCAATTATAGGCCCAGCGAATCGACAGGTCATAACGACTTTTCACACTCTTATTGTCGGCGCGCAGGGCCACTTGTCGGTTCTCGTTGAAGTAAGCACACTCCAGTGCGTGCCTTGTAGTGGCACACAGGTCCAAAAGGAAGAAAAACAGAAACGGAAACAAGGGCGTCTTTGGGGGAGGTTTTTTTTTTTCTCGCAGAAGAATGAAGACGGAGGGTCTGGTCTTGATGCGCAGATCAAGTCTCAAAGGACAAAGTACAGTCGGCGCACGGACATGTACGCCTTATCTCTCGCCTGCAGACGAAGAAGGGAGGACCACAGGAAAGAGAAGGGAGCGTAGGTCAAGATGGCGGTGATGAGAAGGTCGGGCGGCATGTTATCTTGCCGGGTCTGGCTCTAGCTGTCCTCAGGCAAGAGGGCAGCGAGGGCAGAGCGGCGCATGTTGAGAGCAATTTGGCGGGCTGAGTTGCCGGTGCGAGACTTGAGGTAGGGGTCTGCGCCTTGCTTCAGAAGCTCCTTGACAGCTTGTAGGCGATTGCTGACCGTGGCCGCCTGGTAATGGCAACACACAACAGGTGAGAAGTGCGCAATTGATCAGGGCAAAAGGTCCGTGACCATGCCGAAGGAGGAGTTTTGGGCCATACAATAAGGGGTGTGTTGCCGTTTGGCTCCATGGCGTCCACCGTGGCACCATGATGTGCCAGGACCTTGACCACTTCGGCCGAGCCACCCAACGAAGCTATCAACAATGTGCGAGCCGAGTATGAGAGTGGGCATGCAGAGCAACGGCTGAAGAGGAGAAGTGCAAAAGGAGAGAGAGAGAGAAAGAGAGAAAGAGAGAGAGAAAACCAGGGAGAGGGAGGGCGAGACGCGGAGAGGAGGCCCCGAAAAAAAAAAAAAAACCACAAGTGACCAATGGGAGAAGGAGAGGGAGTAAACGTACCACAGCGGTGGAGCGGGGTCCAGCCTTTGCCATCCCGTTCATTGGGAGAGACGCCACGCTCGAGAAGGAGTTGAACGACGGGGGCATGGCCAAAGTCGGCCGCAAAATGAATGGCCATGGAGCCAGCCCGGTCGCCGAGCAGAGGATCGGCGTTGTTGTCAAGCAAAAGACGAATCATGTCCACATGGCCCTCGATGGCAGCCAGCATGAGGGCCGACTTGTCGCTGTTGGACTGGAAATTGACGCGAGCTCCGTAGTTGAGCAAGACTTGGGCCACAGCTGAAGACATCAGGCGGCATAGGGGAACAAACAGTCAGGAGAGGGGGGGGGGGGGGGGGGGGGGGGGGGGAAAAAAAAC